CACCCCGCGGGTCTCCAGACCAAGCTCTGCCTCGCAGGCTGGTCTTGGCACAGGCCGACCGAATCACGGCTGCCCGAGGACCGGCGTGAAAGGCGAAGGCGTTGGTTTCTGGATGGAGGGGCGAACCCAGCCCAAGCGACGTTGCTTTGACTGCTCCCTCGGCTTCCCACGGGGCTGGGGGACGGGCAGCGGGGGACCCCATTGCTCGGGCAGCTGCAAGCCAAGAGCAGAGGCGTCGCGCCCACGTTCGTGGCTGCACCGCTCCACTCGCTGGCTGCTCGGGCCGACGTGTCCGGGTGCTCCCAGGAAAGCAAATCCCCCCCAAGTCTCCCAGGCCTGGAGCAGTCGCGTTCATGCTCCTGAGGACCCGACCCTGCAGCCGTGACGTAGCGCTCGGTAAGCTCGTGCTCAGCTAGCGCCCGTCCTGCAAGCCGAGCACAGGAAGAGCTGGACCCAGCGGCCAGCTAGAGGACAGGAGAGCTCACAAGCACCCTGCAAGGCCAAAGCTCCTTGATTTGGCAAGCAGCTCTGAACACCACAATGGGGGCCGGGCCGGATTGGGAGATGTGTCCGACTGGTGCTCAGACCCCTCGTAGAGGCATCCCCGTCCTTGCACTGCGCCCGGCGTGCTTTCCTGGCCCCGGTAGTGCTGCCCCAGCAAGGTCCTGCATTGCATCAAGGTGGGAGAGACCCCCCACGAGGAAAGCAAACAGCTCAGTAGAAGGGCAAGGGCCGTCGTTAGACCCGGTACCCCGCCGGGCTTGCACCCCTGCGCAGCTCTCCCCCACCTGGTCGTCAGGCCGGCCCCAGCACAGCACCCGGGTGAGAGCACGCCGCGCAAGATCCCTCCCTTCACTTGCATTGGGAAGGGGGTCTCCGACCTGCTAACCAGGCCCCAAACCTCTGCACCTGAGGGGTCTTCCTCCTGTCTCTGGGCTTTGCCCATTTACAACACGAAGCAAGTCACCCCAGTGGCACCCGCACTGGCGAGCTCCCCTCCCGGCTGGGTCCCGAGCAAACCTCAGCGGAGGTCTGTATTCACGGGGGAGTTAAAGCCACTCCACAGATTTCAGCGGCTTCTTCCGAAGCCGCGTCTCCGTGCCAAGCGGTCCGAGCTGAACTAACGCTCCGAGCGTCCAGTCGGGTGCAGCGAGCAGAGAGGATCTCCAAGCCGTGGCGCGTCGCCCTGCAGATTTCTGCAGCGCCCGTAGGCTGGGCTGAAACGCGACCCGTCGCCTCTGCTCTTGCCGCCACACGTCTGCTTCGCCTGCCCGGCCACGTCCGTGTCGCCCCCTCAGCACGGTGCCATTCACGGGTGCACATCTCCAACGCGGACTCGGACCCACGCCCGGGTCTGCAGCAGACAGGCATCTCGGCCCTTGGTCCCTGCTTCAACGCCAGCGTCACGCAAGGAAACGGGCAGGTTTGGGCTTGGATAAGAGCTGCCGGGCTTGCAGCGGGGAGGCGAGCAGACACGCTCGCCAGGCTGGAGAGCAGGGGACGGCAGCCGCCGAGGGATGAATGGTGACAACATGCGACGCAGCTGCTCCGGATGAGCTCGGACCCAGGGGCGTCATCGTGGCCCAGCCATTGCCCCGGAGGCGGTGGGGGGCCGGCGAGGTGCAGCGAGCGCGCGTGCTCGGCGCGGCCTCCACGTGCTGCCCAACCCCGGGAGAAGCCCACGGGCGAGGAGCAGCCGGGCCCTCGGGGAGCTGCACCGAGAGGCACTGCGCTGTTGCCGTGGCAATGCCCGGCGCACGGCGCGGGACTAATTCTCCTTAATCCTGCGGAGAGGCAGCGCTGGCCAAGGCCATCCGGGAGCCCCGCCTGACCCCGCAGGAGCCAGCCGCGCAGGGGAGGGCCGAGGCACGCGGATCCTCCTCCGCGCTGCTACCTCCACCCTGGCAGCTGAGCAAACGGAGCAGCCACCGCGCCCACGGGCACGGCCGCCAGGGAGGCTGGGTGCCGGGGAGCCGGGCAGAGCAGCAGGCACCCCGTGCACGCCGAGCCAGGGCAGACACGTGGGCATGGCATGGCATGCACGGGGGCATTCACGCCACCCCGCCTCCCTTCCCAGGCAGGGAGCAGGGACGGGGCGCAGGAGGAGCGCACCCCCGTGCAGCCAGGTACACCGGGGCCGGCCGCGGACCAGGCTCGTCGTGCCCCCCCGCTCCACGCCCCACCCGGTGGCGCTCGGCGTCTGGTTTTTTTGCAAGCAAGACAAAGTCCCGAGCTGCCACCGCCTGCGCGGGGTC